CAGCCAGCCCTGCTCCCACCTCCCACCTTCCACCTGCCCCCCTCTCCCCTCCAACCCATCAAGCATCGGGTGAGCTGATCAGTAAAGGAGGAATTCAGGCCCCGCAGTTGTCTGCCAGGCGGGCAGGCAGGAGCCTCCGCCTAGTCTCCTGGCCCCTAAATGCAAGGCTGTTGTGGGGAGAGGGGGTGGAGGCTCAGTAGTCAAAGCAGGCTCCAGACTCCATTAACTGCCTTCATTCGCATGTGACACTGCATCCCTGCAGGCTTCTGGGTGGAGACCTCACTGGCAGTTTAACTCCACACAGTATGGGGACAGGATGAGGGCTTGAAACAAACCCCTTCCTCCTCCTTTGTCAGGTTCCTCTTCTCAGCTGCCAGAGCCTGGCCCGGCTCCTGGGCCCTGACTGCACTCACAGCAATGGCAAATTACATGGGAGAGGCAAGCGACCCCCGCTGAAGCTCAGTGGGTGGGTGAGGGGGTGCAAGGACTGACTGTCCGTGTGCGCTGGGTGCAGAGAAAACCCAGACCCTGAGGTGGGGCTTTGTCACCCACCAGCGGTGGTCACCTTGTGCTTATGGCTCACTCTCCCAGAATCCGGATTTTCTCCTTTTAAAAATATGGAGAACAGCCTGCCGTAGGCAGGGCAGTTGAGAGGATGCAATAAAAAATGGATGAAATAAGCTTGTAAGAGCTTGGCTTCCCAGTCGCTCAGGGAATCGCAGCTCCTATGGTGACAATTGCTCTAGCTTAGTTTAGTTTTTAAGGAGCCGCTATTAGATCTCTGTTGTGAGAGAGCTGTCTCTGGGTGTGGATGGTCCTCCTGTCCCTCAAGTGCTGCTGAGTGTCCCCAGTCCTAGGGAAACCAGACCCAGGCCCAGAAGAGTAGGCTTTGTGTGCAAACCGCAGGCAGAACCATCCAGGGCTGATGGGGACCCCGGGGAGGCGGGGCACCCGCTGCCTCTTCTCTCCTGGCTGCTTGGTGCCTTGGGAGGCAGCCTCCAACTGGCTTCCTGAGCGGCAGAAATGGATCGGAGCCCTCATCGCTGTGGATCCTTGGCATGACTTCTGTAGCAGCCCGCGTTTCCTAAGCGGCTCTTTGCCAGATTGGCATCTTGGCTGCTGCACTGTGCCAAGATTCAAGTACAAATCCTGTGGGCTTGGAAAGAGGACTCCATGCTGTCTTCAGGGCAAAGAGGCTCCGGGATCCCCAGCCCTCAGTCTAGCATGCTCTCTCTCTCTCATTCTCTCTCTGTCACACACACACACACACACACACTCAGACACACACACACATACACCCTCCCTGGGAATTTACGTATAATCTTGGGCTCAGGTATCAGTTTGATTCCGTTCTGATCCATAGTTGTTGTTTAGTCTCTTAGCGTGTCCAACTCTTTGTGTCTCCGTAACTCACCAGGCTCCTCTGTCCATAGGATTTCCCAGGCAGGAATATTGGAGTGGGTTGCCATTTCCTTCTCCAGGGGATCTTCCTGACCTAAGGATCAAACCTGCATCTCCTGCATTGGCAGGTGGGTTCTTTACCACTGAACCACCAGGGAAGCCCAAAGTTATAAGTGCCCATTATTTGCAGAGCCTTGTAAATGTGATAGGAACAGAGCGGAAAAGGGGACAGAACTTCCTGTCTAGTTGGGAGTCTTAAAAAAAAAAAAAGCTGATTGGCTGAGCAGAAAATGATCTGGGCAGAGCTGTGTGGGATCCCTGAGGAGGGAACCGTATCTCAGTGGGGAACTAGAGAAGGCTTTCTGTCAGAGCGGACATTTGGGAGGTGTCCCAGAGGACGGGAAGGACTTTCATAGAATAGCATCAGCGAGAATAGAGAGAAAAGAAAGATGCGGGGTGGCGGTGTTGAGGCCCAGGTAATAATCCCTATTGGCTGTGATGGGGAGGAAACAGAAGGCAGGGCTGCAAAATTAGGTTGGGGCCATGTTACACAAGATCTTGAGTGCCAGGGTGGGGAGTCTGTGGTTAAATGGGAAGGGAGTAGGGAGCCAGGGACAGTGGTAAGAAAGATCAGAGTAGTTTGGCAGCAATATGGGCTGTGGCCAGGGGCAGGATGGTACCAATAAAAGTCTGAGGAAGGGGATGGCCTGCATGCTGAAATTCTCCCTTCCCTGCTTCAGGCTGGCCCCATACATGATGTGTGGGGTGCAAAGCGGACAGGGAACAAAGATGGCACTGAAGTTGGGGTTCCTGGGTACAGTGAACAGACCCATGGTCACCATCAAGGGCTTGGTATCAGGACTTCATTGGGAGAGACGGCAAGTGTGGATGGGGTCATGATGCAGGGGGTTGTCTAAGGTTGGGGTGGGGCTGGGCTTCAGCTCCTGGCTCTGCAGGGGAGATGCTGTCCTCTGGGACTAGTGCGAGGGCTGTTCACCGAGCTCAGAGGCCAGTTCTGAGTCATTGATTGGCCTCATGTGTGTCCACAGGGATAGCAAGTTGCCCCCACACGACATGGGGCTGCTCACTCCTCGCCCCCTGCCAAGACTCATCCCGTCTCTTGCCTGCATTGTTTGGGTGACTCACCTTGCTCCTCTCTACCCTCAAGACGGAGGGATTCTACTCCCTGTCCAATGTCCCAAAGGTTCCCTGTCGACGGAGGCGCTCTGTGGGTTTCTCTCAGACTGTCCATGTGATGTCCCCACAAGACAGAAGTAGGGGCTGGGTGGGGGACAGCATCCAAAACAGACTCCATCTCCCTCAGTCACAGGGAGAGGAGGGTGCAGTCGGGGAAATGCAGCCTGGCATCTGCCTGGGGCTTGGAAATAGGGTTTGAAGGGTCCCTGGGAGCAGAACAATGCTTGACTGACAAGCCCCTCAACGGGCCCCTCCTCCTCCCACCTGGCTGCCTCAGAAGTACAGGCCCGCCTAAGCACCGGCCTCCAGGGCTCTCATTATGGAAAGGCTGGGGGTGAGGCTGGCGGGGCAGAGCCCAGGGCAGTGGAGGCCAGGGCCCCGCGCCTCCCTGGGGACTAGGACATGCCAGGAGGGAATGAAGGGAAGGAAGGGAGGCCAGGGACCAGGCAAGGTGGGGGAGGAGCTGTTTCTCTCCCTCTGCTTCCCGCCCACCCCCATCCCAAGCAGGTCAGCCTGCCCTCCCTGCCCGCTTCAAGAGCCCCTCACTTGGGGTTAGCTAACGGTGAACCTGGGGCGGGATGGCCATGGCGGAGGCTGCAGGAACTGAGGGGGCTGGAGGGAGAGCTGCTGGCCGAGGTCCCCAGGCCACCAACCTTTCTTCAGCCCTGGGCAATTACAAGGCCACAAATCACAAGGAGACAGTTGTGTAAGCACCTTTGCGAGCCTAATGGAATATGCAGGGAGCCCGGAGGCCGTAAAAATTCAATCAGCCCAGCTAACCTGGTGCCCAACTCGCCTGGGATACGGTGAGGCTGGTGGGGTCGGCGGGGTGGAGGTGGGAGTTGGCGAGGGGAGGGCTGTGGGGAAGGGGAGGGGACATCCTCACTGTCCCCCAGCCACAGTTCTCCTGAGCCTTAGCTCCAAGTTCTTCTGGAACATTCGGGAATTTTGACTCTTCCTCCAGTGCAAAGAGGGGAGCAGTGAGGTCCCATGAGATGCCCCCACTTCCAGTGCAGAAGAACAGGCTGTCCCCAGGGGAGGTCAGAGGTAGTTCACCCCACCCTGCAGGGTCAGAGTCCAGCCTCCAAAGTGCCCCCCCGGCCCCCGGCCCCAGGAGGGACAGTGCTGGCCCTGTCAGAACCTGCCTGGAACTTGGAGGAAGAGAGAAGGCAAGGCTGGGCTGTCCAGGAACAGCACGTGGAAGCTCAGAGAACAGGCTTAGCAATGACTAAATGCCACTTACTCCATGTGACTCAGCCTCTCTGGGCCTTAATTTCCACTTCAGAAAATAATAGGTGCCACTTCAGAGAGACGGCGAAAGGACCAAGTGATAGAAACGCACACCAGGGGCTTCCCTGGTGGCTAAGTGGTAAAGGATCTGCCTGCCAATGCAGGAGACACGGGTTCAGTCCTTGATCTGGGAAGATCCCACATGCTGTGGAGCAGCTAAGCCTGTGTGCCACGACGACTGAGCCTGTGCTCCGGGGCTCACATGCTGCAACAACTGTTGAAGCCAGCGCCCTAGAGCCCACGCTCCACGGCGGTGAGAAGCCTGCACACCGCAACTAGAGGACAGCCTCCTCTCTCCGCAAATAGAGAAAAGTTCCTGCAGCAATGAAGACCCAGGACAGCCAAAAATAAAATAAATACATTTAAAAAAAAAAAGAAACTCACCCCAGGCGTGGAACCTGATTCTTTCTTACAGCACGTGCTCAAATGCTTTTATTCCGCTTGTTTGATTTTAGGCTTTGAGTCAAGTCTCTGGGACTAGAGGCCTATTGCTGAGCTTGGAGGGACTCAGCTCATTCCTGGGAACTTAGCCCAAGGCAGAGGTTTGCACAGAAGAAAGGAATCTAGACTGGAACCTGGGTGTTTCTTAAAACTATTGAAACCCAGGGATTTTCAGCTTTGGCACTGTGGTCTTTCTGGGCCGGGACAGTCCTGTGCCTTGTAGGGTGTTTAGCAGCATCCCTGACCTCCACCCAGTAAAGTCAGTAGTGCTGCCTAGTTTGGGCCACCTAAAATGCTTCCAGATGTTGCCAAATGTCCCCCGGGTGGGGGGGAAGATCAAAGTCCCCCTCCATCCCTGTTGAAAAAGACTGGGCTATAGCAATGTGAGTTAGGGAAGGACATCCCTGGTGATCCAGTAGTTAAGACTGCACGCTTCCATTGCAGGGGGCATGGGTTCAATCCCTGGTTGGGAAACTAAGATCCCGCATGCCTTGTGGCATGGCTAACAGATAAATAAATAAAAATAAATGTAAGTAAGCAACTTATAAAAGAAGAGTGTGAATGAGAGGACTGTGGGTATGGAGGAGGAGGGCTGCAGAGATGCCCCCTCATGGTCCTACTTTTCTTGCAGGAAGAAGTCCTCGGCTGGGCCCACCACCCACCCTGCACCCATGCTGCTCCTCGCCCTTCTCCTGCTCCTGGAGCTGAGCCTGGCAGGCTCCCTGGGACCCGGAAGCTCTGCTCAGAACCTCCCGGAGAATCATATCGACCTCTCGGGACCAGCACTGTGGACGCCTCAGGCCAGCCACCACCGTCGGCGGGGCCTGGGCAAGAAGGAGCGGGGCCCAGGCACACCTGGCTGGACCCAGGATGGGGCTGTGGTCACTTCCACCAGGCAGGCCTCCAGGCTCCCAGGGGCAGAGGGACTGCTGCATGGGCCGAGTCCTGCAGGCCTGCTGCAAGACAAAGGTCTGCTCCGGGGGCTGACTCGGCCCTACCCCGAGAAGGAGAGCCGGGCTCCAGGGTCAGAGAGGGTGAAGAAACGAGGCAGGGAGCACAAGAGACGGAAGGAGAGGTTGAGGCTGCATAGAGGTTAGCTGGAGGTCTGCGAGGGGGTTGGGCTCCACAATGGGGGGAGGGGGGCAGTGGGGGAAGGAGATCAGACCCAAATGACCAAGGGGTCGGACTTCAGGGGGTGGACATGGAGGCTGGGGGTGGAGTCAATGGCAAGAGCTTCCTGGGAGAACAAATTGGATGCCCCAAAGGGGGCAGGTAGTGGACCTTCAGAGGAAGAGAGGGATCTCACTAGATTCAGAAGGATCTGGTAAGAAGAGGTGCTGGGAAAGGCAGGGGTCGGGGTGGAATAGGGGAGGAAGAGAAGGATATGTGGCCATAGGAGCTCAGTCTTATCCATAGATCATCCTCCTGATTCAGGAAGTTCTACCTTGTGTCTGACCTAAATCCATCCTATTGTAAGTCCTGAACAGAGATGGAACAATTCGGCACATCACTCCAAGCACATCACTTAATCAGTGCTGAAACATAGAGCAGAGGCCAAGAGCTTAAGCTCTGAAGCCAGATCTGCCCCAATTCAAATTCTGGCTCCACGACTTCCTGGCAAGTCGCCTTTCTGTGCCTTGGTTTCTGCAAAGTGAGGGCATGGCCCCCTCTATCCTCACGATAGATTCAGAGAAATCTTGCTATCCGGAGTACCTAGAACAGTGCCTGTCATTTGGCAGGGGCAGCAGCAGTGGTTGTTTCTATTCAATAGTTAATTCTCAACTTTCTCTCGATGCTGAGTCCATCCATGTCCTCTGACCTGGACATGGCTGACCCAAGGAGAGCAGTCATGTCCTTATTTCTCCTGCCTCTGCCCTGTTTGTTGATGGAGTTTCCGCCCCATCCTTCTTTGTCGTTGTTCAGTTGCTCAGTCGTGTCCGACTCTTTGTGACCCCATGGACTGCAGCATGCCAGGCTTCCCTGTCCTTCACTATCTTCCGGAGCTTGATCAAACTCATGTCCGTTGAGCTAGTGATGCCATCCAGCCATCTCATCCTCTGTCATTCCCTTCTCCTCTTGCCCTCAATTTTTCCCAGTATCAGGGTCTTTTCCAATGAGTCAGCTCTTTGCATCAGGTGGCCAAAATACTGGAGCTTCAGCATCAGTATTCCAATGAATATTCAGGGTTGATTTCCTTTCGGATTGACTGGTTTGATCTCCTTGCTGTCCAAGAGATTCTCAAGAGTCCAACCTCCTTACCTTCCTTCACATTCCCTTCATGTTCCCAAATCCGCTGTGAGCTCCAGACTCTCCAGAACAAACATGTTCCAGAAGCTCCAACCAGCTGACCCCTCCCCAGTCTCCCCTGGCCAGAGCCCAGGCAGGCAGCCTTGGCTTCAAGTCTCTTCATGTGACAAGACTGCCTCTAGGGGCGGGCCAAGTACCACAGGCATGGATGGGAGTGGGGTTCTGCAGGAAGTGGGTGATGGAGCCTCAGCCCCCTTTTCTCCTGCAAACAACTGAGGCTTGTTTCCCTGCCAGGCCCACTGAAACCCCTCAGGTGGACAGAACACAGTCAGAAGAGGGGGGCCCAGCTTAGATTCTCAGCCTCCCACCCCTGGGGATCATGTGTCAGCTTGGTGTGAGGGTGGTAACATCCTTGATGCCAAACTGGAAGGCGTACACCCTGCATGGACTCAGCCCAGCCCAGCTCCAGTCCCAGCTCCAGTGGACCAACGGGGCCCTCCCACAAGAGTGAGTGAGTGGAGGAGGGGACAGTGGCCATCTGGAGCTCAGGCTGGATTCATCTCAGGAAGGTGGGGTGGCCCCAGTGGACCCAACCAACCTTAAAGTCAGCTCTTGTCTGAGAAAAAGAGGCAAACATAAGTGTGGGCCCTCTAGCTTTTCTTTTTTTTTTTTCCTCTAGCTTTTCTTGAAGCCTCCTGGTTCCCATGTGCGTGTGTGTGTTAGTCACTCAGTTGTGTCCTACTCTTTGTGACCCCATGGACTGTAGCCCATCAGGCTTCTCTGTCCATGGAATTTTCCAGGCAAGAATACTGGAGTGGGTTGCCATTTTCTTCTCCAGGGAATCCTCCCGACCCAGGGATTGAACCCGAGTCTCCCGCATTGCAGGCAGACTCTACTGACTGAACCACCAGGGAAGCTGGTTCCTGACCACTCCCCAACCCTGCACACTTTCCCCCTCACACTCATCCTACCCCATACCCTTGGAAGGCGGCATCAGTGGTTAAAAGTATTGATTCTGTATTAGATGGACCTGGGTTTGAATTCAGATTTCAATACTCACTGGCTGTGCACCCTCAGGCAAGTCACCTAACCTCCTTGTGCTTCACTTTCCTTCCCTGTAGATGAGACTGAAAGAGTACCTACCTCCCAGAGCTCCTGCAAAGGTTAGGTGAAATAACGCTTATAAAGCAGGACCCAGCATGCAACATGGTCCCAGCTGCAGCATGTGCTCAGCAAGCAGGGTCATCATCACCACGTAGGGAGCTCTCACTTCCCAGCCTTCTCAAAGGCCTCTCCCCTCTGCAATGCATCTCAGCCTCATCACCTTACTTCCCTACTCAAACTTCACCTCCTCCAGGAAGCCTTCCATGGTTAATCCTACAAACTTCACCTCCTCCATGAAACCTTCCATGGTTAATCTTACTGGTTTCCATTCAGTGCACTTACATCCCTGGCTGCACTCTGTCAAGCTGGACTTGGACTTGCTGGAATGTTGTTTTAGAGGGAGAATCCCCAGCAACACTGCAAGTTCATCCTAGACATTCCCCCTTATCGTGCCCCCAGCCTCCTGTTTCCAGCCTCCTCCCCAGGAGGGTGGGCAGTGGGATGCTAGTTGAGCCAGTAACGTGTCCTATGGCTCCTGATGCCCCCTAGCTCACAGCAAAAAATGTGGGTCCTGCTGTGGGCCGATGGGGGTGATGAGCAGATAAAGTCGCTGTGTTCCCTGTTCCTTGTCTCAGGCCGAGCCTTGGTCAGAGGCCCCAGCTCCCTGATGAAGAAGGCGGAGCTCTCAGAAGACCAGTCCCCGGATGCTTTGATGGAGGAATCCTCCACCAGCCTGGCCCCCACCATACTCTACCTCACCACCTTTGAGGCACCTGCCACCGAAGAGTCACTGATCCTGCCCGTCACATCCCTGTGGCCCCAGGTAAGGGGCTGGAAGGGTCCTTGGGAAGACCTCATGCAAACCCTCCTAGTTCCTTTAGGGAGACTGAGGCACAGGGGCAGGAGGGAGATGGTCCAGGCCCATGGGGCTGGAGGGAAGCTGGTTCTCCTGATGCCTGTCCAGCCCAGCTACAGCCAGCAGGCCCACTGTCCAGGGAGTGCTGCCACTGTCCAGGCAGTGGTCCAGGCGCTCATTCTATGGAATGCCAAGGAATCAAGTGCCAGCTCAGCACACTGGTCTCTGAACCTAGAAAAGTCAGGCTTTGGGGGAAGAATTTTGTACATCCCGCAAAGGACAGAGAATAACAATGTCTAAAACCATGTCCCCACAATCCAGAATTAACAAGCATTAGTTAACACTTCGATGCATCTGCTTCAGACCTTTAAAAAGAGAGGGAGCAAGCAAGCAAATGTGGCAAACACACCAACCATTAGTGAGTCTGTGGTAGTTTAGTTGCTAAGTCATATCTGACTCTTGCGACCCCACGGACTGTAGCCCACCAGGCTCCTCTGTCCATGGGATTTTCCAGGCAAGAACACTGAAGCGGGTTGCCATTTCTTTCTCCAAGGGATCATCTCAACCCAGGGATAGAACCTAGGTCTCCCGCATTGCAGGTGAATTCTTTACCAACTGAACCACCAGGGAAAACCCCTTGGTGAGTCTAGACAAAGGGTATTTATTCTTGCAATTAACACAAAGTGCATCTTTGCACTTCTTCTGTGGCTTTGAACACTTTTTCAAAATAAAATCATTAAACATGACCAATAAAATAATACATGTAGAAGAAGTAAAACTTTTTTAGCAGATCTTCCTTATTCTCTTTTTGAGTCTTGCACTCCCTTGAGATCCTGATAAACCACCTCCAACAAATCCACGGTTATCCATGCTGTCGAAGGGCTCCCTGAAGCCCATCTGTTGAGAATCCAGCCCTATGGCATGCTTGCATGCTCAATCACTTCAATCATGTCCCACTTTTTGTGACCCTATGGGCTGTCCTCTGTCCATGGCATTCTTCAGGCAAGAATGCTGGAGTAGGTTGCCGTGCCCTCCTCCAGGGGAGCTTCCTAACCCAGGGATCGAACCCAGGTCTCCTGTGGCTCTTGTATGGCAGGCGGATTCTTTACCGCTGAGCCATTATTGCCCACATTCTACTGTGCACAGATCCAGCCCCGAAACCACAAAGGGTGGAGCCGGGGTGGGGTGAGGGTGTCTAGAGTAGAACTGAACTATGGGCGTGGCCTCAACAGTGCCCTGCCATGGAGAACTGAGGACATCTGTAGGGGAGAGAAGGGACAGGGGAGCGAGCAGCTGGGCTTCCTCCTGAGCGGACATGCTGCCTCCCCAGCCCCAGCCCACAGAGAGCCTGGGCACTGCAGCAGCTGTCTGTAGGCTCTGTCCTGCCTGGGGGTGGCTGCTCTGGGAAGACACTGCCCAGGTAGCTGCTGGAGCCCGAGTCCTGGAGGCCATCTCGAATTCCCCGGGCTGAGATTGCAGGCTGTCCAACACGCCATGAGCTGGCCTAGGAGGAGCCCCTCCTTTGCCCTCTGATCCTGGGGCCCCACGTTTCTTCATCCACCTTTTGGGATCTTCAGGCTCCCTCTTCTCCACCCTCCTCTGCAGGCTCACCCCAGGCCTGACGGGGAGGTGATGCCTACACTGGACATGGCCTTGTTCGACTGGACTGACTATGAAGACTTAAAGCCTGAGGTCTGGCCATCCACAAAGAAGAAAGGTACATCTGCCCACCCCTCCACACCCCTGCTGGGTTCCTCCCCTCCCCCACCATGCCCTGGGATAGGGGCCTGGTGACCCCAGCCTGACCTACAGATGTCCAAGTTGGGGAGAGGGGCATGGAGTCTATAAAGAAACAAATACCTGAAATAGACATATTGCTTTCAAGTGCTCATTGCATACTGGGCGGATTCCAACTAGCTACTCCTTTAACGGGAAGAAAAAGAAAACGTGTCTGTTCTGTTGATCCCCTCTGCCTTTTTTAAAAGTATTTTAAAATTTTGTTTTTACGTTTTATTTTGGCTGAGTCTTTGTTGCTGCCTGGGCTTTTCTCTAGTTGCAGAGAGCGGGGGCTACTCTCTAGTTGAGGCCTGGGGACTGCTCGCTGCGGTGGTTTCTCTTGTTGGGGAGCACCAGCTCTAGGGCAGGCGGGCTCCAGGAGATGTGGCTTGCCAGGCTCTAGAGCACAGGCTCAGGAGTTGTAGCACACCAGTTTAGTTGCTACGGGATCTTCCTCACCCGGGGATTGAATCCGTCTCCTACTTTGGCAGGTGGATTCTTTACCACTGAACCACTAGGGAGTGTGTGTTAGTAGCTTAGTCGTGTCTGACTCTTTGGGACCCCATGACCCTCCAGACTCCTCCGTCCGTGGAATTCTCTAGGCAAGAATACTGGAGTTTGTTGCCGTTCTCTTCTCCAGGGGATCTTCCTGATCTAGGTATCGAACCCAGGTCTCCTTCATTGTAGGCGGATTCTTTACCATCTGAGCTACCAAAGAACCACCAGGGAAGCCCCACCTGCTTTTATTTGTCCACTCCATGTGGCATACGGGATCCTAGTTCCTCAATCAGGGATAGAACCCATGTCCCTTGCATTAGGAGCACAGAGTCTTAACCACTGGACTGCCAGGGGAGTCCTCTGACCCCATTTTTAGAGAAGGGAAAAGTAAGGCAGAGAGGCTTCATGTCTTCCCCAAGCCACACTGTGGAAGTGGTGGTGTCAGCACTCTGACCCTGGCATCCAGTGCCTAATCTCTGCGCTGATGAGCCTCAGCCTCTGACCACAGGTCCTGTTTTCCCCAGAGAAACACCGTGGCAAACTCTCCAGTGATGGGAACGAAACATCACCAGCTAAAGGGGAGCCCTGCGACCATCACCAGGACTGCCTGCCAGGTACCAAACCAGCATTGTGTTCCAGGGCACTAGGCAGGGCGCTGGGGGAACCGTTGTGGGGGTGGGAGCGGGTGGGTGTTCCCAGACACATGAGCAGGATCCTTTAGGGATAGTAAATAATAACAACCAGTCTGATGAGAGTTGCTGCCATACTTTATTCTATTTCATCCTTAAAGCAACCCAGAGAGCGACCCTGTCATTCCCAATTTTCAGGCAAGGAAACTGAGGCTCAGAGGGGCCAAGTGTTTCAGCTGTGATCACAAAGCTTGGAAGTGGCTCAAACCTGAGTCTGCTGTTCTGAACCGCTGTCCCACACTGCCTTAAGTCAGGATGACCCTTCTCCCGACTTCTCCTTAATGTCTTATCAGGCTTCATTCTGTCCTCATCCTGTCGTGACACTGCTGGGCTCCTGTGGGTGCTTTGATGATATCCTGACCTGTTCAGCAGCTGAGCCCATCAAGACAGTCTGAGAACAGGGGCCTGGGGTTTGGATGGATGGTCTAAACTGCTGGCCTTGGCCGGGTCACTTGGGACTTCTGGGAAACTGAAACCGAGTTGGAGTTAGAAGGGCAGGAGGTTCCTGGGGATGGTGGGGGATAAGGCCTGTGAACAATAAAAGCGAGAGGAAGGAGGAATGGACAGGAGTCTGATACAATCTCGGCCAGCCCAATGGGCAGCTCCAGAACAAAGACTCCCTGTTACAAGAGGCCCCCACTGGGCAGAAATAGCCAGGCCCTGGCAGCCAGTCACTGCCCGGGCTGTTCTGCTCAACCCCAGTGTGACATCATCAGCCCAGGAGGCTCCTGCAGGTGTTAACAGGGGGGCTAGAGGCTAACTGCTCTCCTGGCCAGTGGACTGCAAGGGCAGAGACTCGAGTGGCACACCTTGGCTCCTGTTAATTCAGTAGCCAGAATATTCTACAAAACAGCAACTGAATCATTTGGCATTGTGTAAACCAGACCACCAGCTCCCTGACAAGTTGTTTCCCTTCCAAACGGTTTTTCCACCCAGAGCAGGAAGAAAAGGCTCAAGTTTGGGCCAACTGGACAGTGGCTCTGAGAGCTGGCTCTGTGGTGGGTGAGGTTGTGCCTGGGGCTGCGTCTCAGGGGCTTCTGTTTCCCCATCTGTCAAAAGAGGACGTTGGCGTCCATGATCCCTGCGGCCCCTCCCAGCTCCACACTGACTCCACACCTGGCGGCCCCCCAGCCTTTCTACCCAGTGGGGAATCAACAGTGCCTTTCCTCCTCCCATGATCAATCAATTGCCCATCTGGGGCGTCTAGGGTCTCAGCCGCCCGCCCTCTGGGGACATCCATCAGTGGTTCCGGCTGGGAGCCTTGTGCACCAGATGGTCCACTCTGCCAGGGGCAGCCCCGCCAAGGAGATGATGGATCTCCTGTCCAGTGGGAGCATGTATGGGGCGGCAGGGAGGGTCTGCTCGGCACGGCTGACCGCGTGTGCTTGCCATGTGGGCAGGGACCTGCTGCGACCTCCGGGAGCATCTCTGCACGCCCCACAACCGAGGCCTGAACAACAAATGCTTTGACGACTGCATGTGCGTGGAAGGTGAGGCCAGATGCCGGGGGCTCCCTCGGCGCCGAGAACCTTGCCACCTCCCATTCTCCTCGAGGCAGGGGTGGGCAGCGAAGGGGGTGAGAGGATCCCTGGGGAACTGAAGACACCAGCAGGAACAGCTTCGCTCAGTGCTTTCCCAATCTGTGAATTCATTTAGTTTCCGTTCCTGGCATCGTTGCTCAGATTTGCTTTTCTCACCTCTTGAAATACAAGCTGGTATGATCTCCCATGATCTGGAGACAGGAGAAGGGAGAAGAGAGAAGCGTATCTTTTAAAAGATCAAACCTGAGAAGGCTGGTGCTTTCACACCAGAATTCTATCCCAGGGGAGACATTCCAAGTGTGATAACAAGGGGTGAGGAGTGAATTTCCCAGCACTTTCCCAAGGAAGGAGGCTCTTACCCAGCTGGCTCCCTCTCAACTCCTCTGAGCAAGCTCTGAGCTCCCACGTGGAGCAGAACATGTGTGTGTGCCTGTGTGTGCCTAGGCACACCACCCAGGTGTGCCTAGATGTACCCAGCTGTGTGCCAAGCACTCTACCTGTTAGCGCCTCAATCCTCACAACCATCTCAGACGGGAGCTATCGTTCTCCCCATTTCACGCAAAAGTAAACTGAGGCACAGAAAGTTTAAGTCACTTGCACAAACCTATATAGGTAGAAAAGTGGGGGAAATATTTTAAATTGTGTATTCTGAAAATTTTTAAATACATATTAAACTCGTCACAATAGTATAAAGAACCCCCATTTCCTATCATCCAGTTTCACTAATTCTCATTCACGGCCAATCTGTGCTGTCCCCTCTGCCCCATCCAGTTCCCCCACTGCAATAGGATTTTTTTTGGGGCGGGCAATAGGATTTTGAAGCAACTCCTAAGAATGTAGATATTTTACCTGTGAATATTTCCATATATACGCCTAAGAGACAAGTACTCTTTTAAAAACAAAACACCGAAAATGCACAATAATTACTGGATGTCATCCTGCCTCCAAGGTTCATTTCTCTAGGGTGAGGGGTTTGACCTCTGTCCCTTTGTGGACCGTTCTGAGGTACACGCTGTATTTTTTGCTCACATTAGCCTCAAAGTTATCTGCTGTGAAAGCAGTAAAGCTGCTTCAGTCCAATTATTCATTTGTCCAGTTGGTCAAGACATATTTCCTGAGTGCCTACTGTGTGTCAAGTTCTGATCAAGACATTGGGGATTCAGGGGTGAAGAGAACCAACAAGTTCTCCATCCATGGATTCCATTCTAGTCAGATCGAGCAACAGTTAGCAAATAACTGGGCTTCCCGAGTAGCTCAGATGGTAAAGCATACGCCTGCAATGCAGGAGACCCAGGTTCAGTGCCTGGTTTGGGAAGATTCCCCTGGAGAAGGAAATGGCAACCCCGTCCAGTATACTTGCCTAGAAAATTAGGCAAAATCTGGACAGAGGAGCCTGGCAGTCTACAGTCCATGGGGTTGCAAAGAGTCGGACACGACGGAGCGACTAACACATATAAACACACGCACAAGCAAATAATTAGATGTCTGTAAAAAGGAGTAGAACTGTAAAGACAGTAATTCAGGCTGGCCTGGGAGTTATTTTAGAAAGGATGGACAGGAGCGGACAGCAGAACTGGCCACCTGAAGATGAGAAGTGGGGTAGGAAGGGAGAGTCCCAGACAAGCAGCAGAGCAAAGGCAAGGACCTCAGACAGGAGCAAGGCTGGCATGTTCGAGTGCGTCTGGCACACAGCAGCCACACGCTGGCACAGAGGAGGTGGGAGAAGTTGGGGGGTAGGATCAGGACTTCATTTACATTATCATGGGAAGGTGTGGACAGGTTTTTTTTTTTCTTCTTTTTTTAGTATTTATTAATTTGCTGCATCAGGTCTTAGTTGCTCCGCCACATGTGGGATCCTTGTTTGCCCACTAGCGATCAAACCCACGTCTCCTGTATTGCAAGGCGGATTGTTAACCCCTGGACCATCAGGGAAGTCCCTCATCAGGTGTTAAGAAAGGGAATGACCTGGTCTGACTTTTGAGTATACCAGCTCACTCTGGCTGCAGGACTGTGTGGGGCAGGACTGGAGAGGCAGGGATGAGCTAGGAGGTGAAGGAATGGAGGTAGGCAGGGGTGGAGATGCTGAGAAGCCGCCTTCTGTTGCCTGTGTGCAAAGTGGGGGCCCATTTGGCAAAGGAGAAGACTGAGGTGCATAGTAGGCTGGAGGGCACTTCATTCCAGGGAGCTTGGAATAGCATCAGGACCTCCAGGTCCAGCCTGCCCAGGTGAGGGGGATGTGGCCCTACTGCTGCACATGCCCAGTTGGTGCCCTGCTGGATGCTCAGTGGGCAGCCCTCTGCCAGGGAAGCCATCCTTCCTTCCTCCCCTTGGCCTCAGTTAGGAGGGGGTAGCTTTTCATGCCTTTGAAAGCTAACTGTGCAGCCAAAGCCCCATCTGCTCATTTCCCTGGTCCCTCCCATCCTGGTTGGTCCCGCCAAAACTCTCATTTCCACCCTGGAGACTCAGACTCTGGGGAAAAAACAAAGAAATTGAGTGGAAATGACAGCTCCTTAAAGATGGTCCAGGAAGAGGTTTTTACCCAGATGCTACAGCAGAGGGATCCAAGTGATGCCAGGAACCCTCAGGAGGACCAAGAGTCCTGAGGACTTCTGAGAAATTCTGAAATGTTGGATTCAGGTCCCAGAGCTGAAGTCCAGCAGTCTAGGCCAGCCTGAAGTGTTCCAGAAGGGCTTCTGTGGCTACCAACCACTCCTATTCATGATCCCCCCTGCCCCTCCCAAGTGTCACTCGTGTGGCCACAGATCTGAAGGCTCAGTGATCCAGGTGTTGGTTCTAGACCCCTAAGGACAAAACTTCATGGCAATTCCTGTATTCTCTTGACACTGAAATAAGCAGATCTTAAATTGGTGATGGCCCCTCTCCCTGTGGTCACTCCTAACCAGAAATGTAGAGATTGCTCAGACCACACTGACACCTCCTTCCCTAACCCCCGACCCTGAATCAGGAGGATATGGCTTTTTTTTTTGGCTGCATTGCTGTCTTAGTTGCAGCACACATGATCTTCATTGTGGCATATGGACTCTCTAATTGTGGCTCTTAGACTCGGTAGTTGTGGCGAGAGCTTAGTTGGTCCATGGCATGTGGAATCTTAGTTCCCCAATCAGGGATCAAACCCACATCCCTTGAACTGCAAGGTGAATTCTTAACCACTGGACCACCAGGGAAGTCCCAGGAGGATGTGGCCTGAAATGAAAAACACGCCTGCCCATGTATGCCAGAGGATGTCTATCATGGGCCATGATTCAGCCCAAGCAGGAACCCCTCCCACTGGTGGGCCAAGAGGGGCATGTCTACTATAAATAAGGTGGTCAGGGAGGGTCCCTTTGAGAAGGGACTGTGAAGGAGCCAGCTATGCCAAGAGCTTCAGGAAGGGATTTCTGGCTGTGAGAACAGCAAAGGCCCTGAGGCTGGAAATGGTGGGGTGTATGAGGAAAAGTGAGAAGACTAGGTGTGGCTGGAGTTACAGAGTGAGGAGGAGTGGGAGGTAAAGAGAACAGACAGGGGGCAGGGCAGGTCCCAGAGAGTCTTGTAAGCCAGGGGAAGCAGTTTAGATCTCCTTTGGAGTACAGTGGGGAGCCCACGGGAGGTTTTATAGGGAAGGGCAGAATCTGAATCTCTTTTATTTATTATTATTATTTGCTGTGCTGCATGGCATGTGGGATCTTAGTTCCCTGACCAGGGATCAAATCCAAGCTCCCTGAATTGGAAACACAGAATCTTTACCATTGCACTACCAGGGAAGCCCTGCATCCCTTTAAAAAATAATTTTAATAGACTATTTTTAGAGTCGTTTTAGGTTTACAGGAAGATTAGACAGAAAATACAGCAGTCTCATATGCCTCTCCCCCGCCCCAGTTCCCCCTGTTATCTTACATTAGTGTGGTACACTTTTTAAGACTGGTGAACCTATAGTGGTACATTATTAAGTCCATAATTTACATTAGTGTTCACTCTGTATTGCACATTCCTAGGGTTTTGACAAAGACTAGACATGTACCCACCATTATAGATAGTATCGCACAAAATAGTTTCGTGGTCCGAAATATCTCCTGTGCTCCATCTGTTCACTCTCCTCCGTCTGTGATTCTCTTTTTTAAACCCATTCAGGCTGCTGTGCGGGGGATGGATTGGTTGTAGGGCAGAAAAAAAAGAAGGCAGTGATAGTGAAACGGTGCGAGGCCGGGCTGGGGGGAGAGAGGTGGGGAGGACGGGCTGGTCTCACGTCTGACCCCTTTGCCTCTCTTCGCTCAGGGCTGCGCTGCTACGCCAAATTCCACCGGAACAGCAGGGTCACCCGGAGAAAGGGGCGCTGCGTGGAGCCCGAAACGGCCAACGGCGACCAGGGGTCTTTCATCAACGTTTAGCGGCCCGCGCGAGACGCCTTCGCACCGGCCTGGGGATCGAGCTCCGGAGTTTTGGAGAAGCCGGGCAGTTTGTTTATGACTAGCGGTGGCGGATCAAATGCGGGACCAGCTGACTGAGGCTGCAGGCTCAGATCCAGGACGCTCCGTTCCGAGTCCTGGACGAACTGCCCCTGCCCAGGAGCCGAGCAGCAGCACGCCTGCACCCACCCCTGGGCGGACCGGAGACCCACACCGCCTGCGCATCCGGTGTCCGTGTTCGCCACGATGGTAATGTCGAGAGTGCCCTCTATCGTCCTACCGCAGCACTGCAACGGTTTCAAGTTTCAAAAGGAAGAGGGTTTTGAGCTGGGAAAGGATGGAAACTCCTGGAGAGACCGGGAACCAAAAGGCGGGAGATGAATACCGAAGCACCTCCTATGTACCAGGCACTGTGCTAAACGCGGGCCATACGTTATCTCGTTTATCACATGACCTTTTAAAGTAGGCATAATCACCATTTTACAAGTGAGGAAACTGAGGCAGGCTTAAATTATCTTGTCCAGGGTCCCAGATCAATGCTCCTCAAACCTTCACCTGTGTGAGAATGCCCAGGGATCTGGTTAAAATGCAGATTCCAATTCAGTCGATTCTGCATTTCTAACAAGGTTCAGGGCTTGCTGATGCTCCTGGTGACCTGGGACCTCACTGAAAGCACCAGGTCCCGGGGAGTCAGGAGTGGAGCTGGCATCTGAACCTGGGTCTGCCCAGCTCCAAGGCTCACATCCTTGCTCTTCCACAACCAAGGACTCATTCCAAGTTCTCCAAGGCTTTCGGTGAGAGACATGTGTTCCCTGGTGGTTCCTTTTGCTGTGGTGAAGGCTGGAATAACAGACAATTCCTTCCCTGGACAAAGGTGTATCATTTCAAAGAAGAAGAAAAAGGAAAACGTGCATTAAGCACCTGCTTGCTTACAAGGCAGGATTTGGGCAGATTGGCGAACTGGTGTTCTGAGAGAGGAAGTGTTTAAGGGAAACAGTAAAGCTGTTCCTTATGTCTATGGCCCTGCTCACCCCATCCCAGGACGTGCACTTTGGAGGGCCCTGAAAGCTGCCACCCTAGGGGTTCTTTGACTTTTGGAGTTCATGACTTTTGAGACTCTAATGCAAGCATGGAGTCAAAAACACACATTGCCAGTTGGCAGCCACTTTGTATACGTCTTAGTGGTTCTAGGTCCCCCAGAGACCATCCCATGTCTACAGGTCTACACTTCTTCAACAGAGTGTACTGAGGAGTTGGGGACATCTCTTCTAACTGCATTCATCACAGGCCAGACCCATGATGCCCACCTGAACACCTTTCCAAGCTGATGTGACTCCAGTGGCCACCTCAGGGGAGTCACTTAAATCCCTCCACCTGGCATCTCACTCCTGACCAACCCTCAGGTCCAAGGCAAACAAGGTTGCAAAACTTCCCTCTCCAGATGCCTCGCTGGCCTGGACCCCTGCTGGAGGGACCACGCCCACAGGATGCCAGGCCTGTTTACTCCATTGGGAAAATCAGTTGGGGGTCAAGGGTATGGCACCAAGGAAGGCAAACAGATCTAGAAGAAACCAAATACACCGGCTCTTTTCTCCTTATTCAAGTTCAAAGCACACGGGAATCTTAGGGAGGGGAGGACCACAAGAGATCAAAGCCGGCTATTTGAAAATTGAATCCGCCTGCAGTTTTGTCTGTTTGAGACCAGACAAGGCCTGTGCTGTGTGCCTCATATGGGGTGACCGATTTGAGATCATGATAGAACCCTAGCGAGGGTGGCTGCAGGCAGAGAACCCAGAATTGCTTTTGTCTGGTGACGGCGGGGCGGGGGTGGGGGTGTGGTGGGCAGTGGTAAGGGTGGCCCTGGCCATCGATGATGGAAACACAAAGCTGGAAGGCTCAATGGAGCTATCAGTACCTACCAAGGGAGCTCCATGGCTGGAAATTCAGGGCCTATCTCTTTGCCCTAGCTACTTCCATTTTGCATTTGCAAAGGCTAAGTGGGTGGAATTCTCTTAACTCCAGAGTTAGGGATCCCAAAGCCCCCTCTGTGTTTAACAAACCTCTATGCCAGAAGTTCTTCCTTAGGTCTACCTTAAATTTCTTTTGCTGGTGCATAAGCCAATATCCTCGAATCCAGGGTTCAACAAACTTATCATAATGGGCCAGATAAATATTAATATTATAGGCTGTGTTCCAATGAAGCTATTTATGAACACAGAATTTCAGATAATATTCACTTGTCACAGACGATTATTCTTTTGATTTTTTAAAACACATTTTGAAATGTGAAAACCTCTTAACTTGCAGACTACACAGAAACAGGCAGTGGGTTGTACTTGGATCCCAGGCCGTGGTTTGCCAATCTCTGCTTTAATCTGCTGGTCTCAGCCTTGGCTGCACATTAGGACAGTCTGGGGAACTTTCAAAGCTACCAAAACTTTCAAAGGTGCCTGAGCCCACCTGCGAAGATTCTGGTTTAATCGCTCTGGGGTGTGTCTGGGCATCGTACTTCTGCAAGGCATCCGGGTGGCTCTACGTGTCACCTGGGCCTGGGCCTGGGCCTGGGCCCCCTGCCCTTGTCCTCCTGCGGGAGTGCAGCTGCTGACAAACGGCCTGCTCCACCACTCACTACCTTGGTGATCCTAGGAGACTTCATTAAGGTCTCTGTGCCTGGATTTATCTGTAAAATGGGGATAATCACTCTTTCTTCATAGTGGTGGTGTGAGATGTAAATACAAAATCCTAGCAACATGCTTGCTACAGTGCCTGGCACATAATAAGCCCTCAGTGTTAGCTAATTTATTTTCTAGGATGATTTTAGCAGGTGTTCTGTTTTTTGACAGTGATCCATCATGTACTCAGAGATCAGTTCAAAGTCACCATTCAGGATCCTTTCCCAAAGCATGTTCCCTGGAACACAGGGCTGTGAGATACTCCCTTAGGAAAGAGGGGATGGGGTTCTGTGGTCAAAGAGGTTTGGAACACTGTTCTGGACTCAGCCCGAAGCAGCATGTACAGATTCTGTCCACTAAGGCAGAGCTGTGGATGTCCGTGGCTTTGCAACAACAGGGTCAGGAGTTTCTATATGTCCCCACTCCTCACCCTGAGGCTGGAAAGAGCTGAGCAGGAGGCCAAGTAGAAACCAATAGCTACTGAGATGGTCACCTATGCCCCCTGCATTCCTCCTGAGGGAGCTTTCCAGCCATTCCCCAGAGATACTCACTGTTCCCACGGGGCTGCCTTTCTGTGACTTGTCTGGTGATGCCAAGAGTGGCTCCTGAGCCTGCCAGAGATGGGTGAAGGGTCAGAGGACATGAGAACCATGCCACATGGGAATGTGACAGCTTCACCTGCCCCTTGAGGAATCACCGAGCCATATGTTGTGTCCCGAAGCCAAGACCCCTTCCACCACCTAGAAGCTACAGGTGGAGCCTTTGTTGTTAATTCACTCAATCGTGGCACCCCATGGACTGCAGCACGCCAGGCTTCCCTGTCCTTCACCATCTCCTGGAGTTTGCTCAGACTTATGTCCATTGAGTTGGTGACGCCATCCAACCATCTCGTCCCCTTTTCCTCCTGCCTTCAATCTTTCCCAGCATCAGGGTCTGCCTTACTTCAAGCCATATTCAACACATCCAATACAATCTGATGTTGAGATGACGGCCATCAACTTCCTGGAAGGGATCCGCTTTGCAGCTGGAGAGACTTCCATGTAACCTGCAAGGAACACGTTTATGAAACAACAGAACAGCAAGGAAAAATTGGTGCTGGGAGAGACAGCAGGAGAGGCAAACTATTTAGGCTCCTCGTTGGGGGTTGCATGCAGTTGACAGGGACACCATGTCCTTCATGATGATCTTCAGTCATGTGGGAGATGGGAGGGCATGTGCTGGGGAGGGCATGGTAGGACTTGCCAATCTGAAGAAACAGGGGCTTCCATCACAGGGAGTATATTTACTGAATTCTAAATCAGGATGGTGGTCTGATGGAGGATAAGCAGCCTCTTCTGGATGCGAAAGGCTTTCTGGTCCTTCTGTCCTTTTTTTGTTATTGTTGGGACAAGGAATAGTGACTTTACTCGGAAAGCCAGCCAACCCCATCTTGCCTGAGTTAGAATTCAGTCTCCTTTTATATTTAAAGGGGAAACTCAAACACTTTCTGGTTCCCATCAGCCTTCATCTCTTCCTCCCTGCAGTCAGTCATTCACAGGTGAACCTGATCAGATTGTTCCTTGTGTGCTAAACAAAGGTATTTTAGCTTAATGCTCATTATCTGGGAAGCAGGGTTCCCAGTAATGGGCCATTATGTGTAATTTAAGTTTATAGGCAATGTCCCTGTAGTGATTTATTTGTAATAGGATACAAAAGGTCTTCCCTATCACAATTCCCACTGTCAATGTCCGTTCCAGTCTTGTGGGGGAAAGACCTGGGAACTTGGCAGAAATGTGGGATCCCAGCCCCACTGGGACCTACTGAATCAGTATCTCTAGGGGTGGGTTTTCACAAGTTCTCCAGGCTGTGGGTTTTCACAAGTTCTCCTTGTGCACAGTAAAGGTTCAGAGACACAGCAGAGGCAGAGGGGGAGACAGGACAGTCAGACAACCAGGGACATTTGGATGATTTGGGGGCGTTTGCATATGGGTGTGAGTTGACCAATCTGAGATCCACTTTGCCTGGTTAATAACCAGCAGTGACCAACTTGCAGGCTCCAAGGCCCTGCCTCCTGGGCTGGAACTGGCCTTTATTTTCAGAGGAAATGAAGTGGAGCATCTGGGCCTGGGGCCTCAGTCGTTGGGTTTTCTGGCTCTTGGGAACTTCCCTGGGGGACTATGGTTCCTATTTATAAAGTACACCCTTGAGTCCCATGATGGCGTGTTGCATGCACTCTCTTGAGCTGTAAATAAACAGATGATGATTAATAAGCTTCGCTGTTGTCTCTCTCTGCCCCTCGAGATGGTCTGTCTTGCAGACAGGGAACACTGTCAGGGTGTTTCAGGGGAACTCAGCCTGGTATTTCTCCAGCTACTTATTCATTCATTCTGCACCTTGGATTAAGCATTTGCTCTGAGCTAAGCAGAAGAGAGTGGCAGATGACGAGATGGTTGGATAGCATCACCTATTCAATGGACATGAACTTGGGCGAACTCCGGGAGATAGTGAGGGACAGGGAGGCCTGGCGTGCTGCAGTCCATAAGGTTGCAGAGTCTGACATGATTTAGCGACTGAACAGCCAAGCAGTACACAGGCGGGTAGGGTCTCTGCCCTCACCTGGACTGCATCATGGTCCTCTAACTAGACCACTGGGTGGGAGTTTCATATTTTTATCTTCTCCCACTTTAGGGTTGGGGCAGCTAAGGTCCCAAAGAGATTACAGGGCTGGCCATATACAAGGCTGGCAGGCACATTGCAGGCAGAGAGTGCTGAGAAAAGCAGGTGCCCGCTTGGGCAGAATGAGGAAAACAAAGCCCCACCACCTGAGGCCAGGCCTGGGCAGGCTCAGATGCCGACTTGGGAAAGGGCGTGAGCTGGCTGGGGGTGGACTGTCTTAGCACCAGGAAGGACATCTGTTATCTTAGTGGCAGCTCCAGCCAGCACCACCCAGCTGTGCAGACCAGACCCCCTCCGAGCCTAGCCGATCAGAGCAAGGCTATGTTATGGCTCTCTGTGGCTCTGTGTCCTAAAGCCAAGAGCGGATCCAGACCCTCCTGGGAGCCAGAGTAACCACAGATGTGGGAAGCCCCTAAAGGCCTAGGGTCCTTGTGGGGATTTCCCTGCCCAGGCACCACTGAGGGCCTGGCTCCTGCAGCTTGGACAGGGAAACCCCCCTAATCCAGGGTTTCTGTAACACAGGCCTGGGGTGCCAGTGTCAGGATGTTCTGAGGGGCAGACCCACGGTTCTGAGCCTACCCAGGCCCCTGACTCAATCTCTAGGGGTGGGCTTGGGAATCTGCATGTTGATAAATACCCCCTCACACCACCCCAAGTCCTGAGAACTACTGCACCAAACCTTCCTGAGAACTCACGTTCTTCCCTGCTAAGGCCCCAGATAGCTGGCAAATCCCCCACTGAGAGTGGATCCCAGGAATCAAGCCCAGGAGGTCCCCCTTCATATAAGCAACTGCTCAACTGAGCCATTGTAGTACAAAAGCCTCCAGAGACAACACAGAAATAGATGAGCACAAATGCATGAACATGGTTGTGTTCCAATAAAACTTTATTGACAGCAAAGGGCAGCAGGCTGGATCTGCCCTTGGTCTGTAGCCAGGCCTTAGTTGTTACTGCTGACCCCGGGGTCAATGGTTATAGAAAGGCATGCTGGGCTTCTAAAATCCCCCTTTGTTGTGGAATGTCAATTCAAACCCATTTCTGCTAAGGAGGGTCTGAGCAGTCTGAAGTAAAGGGTCAAGACCAGCTGAACCTGAGGCCAGGAGGACTTCAATGCTCTGTGCTGGCAGCGTGCGTGCAGCCCTCAGGGCATCAGGTGGCTGGATTGGCAGTGTCTCAGGGTTCTCCAGAGAAACAGAACCAACTGAGCATTTGTATTTATGTATCTTTAAGTGTCCATGTGTTTATTTCTTCTTTATATATGTATTTATATAAAGAGATTCATTTTAAGGAATTGGCCCCTGCTCTTGTAGGAGCCATCAAGTCTGAAATTTGGAGGGCCAGCCAGCAGGTGGGAAACTCAGGCAGGGCTCAATGTTGCAGGCTTGAGACCATGTTTCTTGTTCCCCAAGACCTCAGCTTTTGCTCTTGAGGCCTTCACCTGATCGGGTGAGGCCCACCCACATTCAGCCAGGTCATCTCCTTTACATGAAGTCAGCTGCTTGTTGATGGTCGCCACATCTGCAAAGTGCCTTCACAGCAGCACCTGGAGCAGTGTGTGATTAAATCTTTGGGTACAACAGCCTGGCCAAGTTGACACAAAAATATAATCACAGGGGCAGGGGCGGGGGGAGCTCCTGGAGCTGGGCTCCCGAACTCCAGGTCCAGATCACAACACTTGGATGTGCGGTAGCATCATCTGTGATGTACCATGAAGCTCTGGGCCTCCTTGCTCCATTTGCTAGCTTTAGCATCAGGTGGCAGCAGCAGCGGTTACCATCTGTCATGTATGTGGGCATGGGTGCTTTGGTGTGCCCAGAGGAGTGTCTGGACCTGAAATTCCACTTGGAGTGGATAGGGTGCAAGGGTGCTGTGAGTGGACCCACATAGGCAAGTGGCTAGCAGGGGCACCCCTTCCTTTCATCTCACCCCCACCCCCAATGCTGTATCCTGAAACCCACCTGTTTGTGCTGGGAGGCCAGCCTCAGGACAACTGGGCTGCTTCCACACTGGTGATTAGTCAGTGTGGTAGGGCTGGGTAGTCAATTCTGCACATTGTGGCCCCAAAATGTCCCACTGTGTTCCCAGCCTTGACCTTGTGTCAGCTCCCCGCACATAGTGAAATCCAGGGTTAGCGAGGAAACGCATTCATCTGAACACTGCCCTGACCTCTGTTTACTGAGCTGAGTCCACTGCATGAGGCACACACCCTCTGGTGTAGCTGGAAGTTGTTAGAGCCCATTTTGCAGAGCAGGAGAACTAAGGCACTAAGAAACAAAGGCCACTTGTCCAAAGTAATGTAGTTACTTAGTGGCAGAGCTAGGGACAACTGCCAAGTGTCTCTGAGTCTAAAACCTAACTGTGGGTAATAATTCCCTGGCATTCTAGTCATTGGGGCTTCCCTGGTAGCTCAGACGGTAAAGTATCTGCCTACACTGTGGGAGACCCAGTTCGATCCCTGAGTCGGGTAGAGCCCCTTGAGAAGGAAATGGCAACCCACTCCAGTATTCTTGCCTGGAAAATCTCATGGACTGAGGATCCTGGTAGGCTACAGTCCATGGGGTTCGCAAAGGGTTGGACATGACTGAGCGACTTCACTCACTCATTCTAGTCATGAAGACTCCACACTCCCCTACTATATAGCACAGGGAGCCCAATCTGGTGCTATGTGACCACCAAGAAGGGTGGGATAGGGGTGGGTGGGAGGCAGGCTCAGGAGGGAGGAGATAAATATATATATGGCTGATTCTAGTTGTACAGCAGAAACAACACAACATTGTAAAGCAGTTGTCCTCCAATTAAAGGGAAAAAAGAAAGAAAGCGTCTATGCTTCTGAAGCAGAGGGTATGAGTTTGGTCCCTGGTCAGGGAACTAAGATCTCACATGCTGTGCAGTGCAACCAAAACATAAAATAAAACCTGATTATGTCCACCAGCCTCCTGTTCCTCTCAAGGCCACAAGTTCACTGAGCACCTACCAGGGGTCAGTCACCGATTCTCACCCTCAGGCCCATTCACTTGGCAGATCACAGGACGGTGAGCTCACCCTGGGGCCATCAAGACTGCTGTCGGGGCCAGCGGGGGTGGGGGGTGGGACAAGAGCTCTGCATGCAGGTCCCAGCCCTGGGCTGCCTAGGCCGAAGGTCACCCACTCACCTTCAGGCTGCCTCCCGGAGGGTTCCTCAGAGAGAAAAGGGGTCGAGATTCCTCCCCTTTGGAGGAAAGCCTCCCCGGGGCTTTCCAACCGGTGGAATCCGTGGAGGCACCCGGCCCAGTCCCACCACTGCTTCCTCATTCTTTTCTTATTTCTCCGCTAGCTCCTTAGTGACCCCCAGCATGTGAGCTGAGACCTCGTGGAGCCTGCAGCAGAGACTGAGAGCCAGTGAGCAGGCAGCAGTGGGTGAAAGCAAACACCAAGATAAACCCCACCTCAGATAGGCATCCGGGGCGTCGCAGGGCTCAGCAGCGTAGCTGACCTTGTTTGTGTTTCTGAGCAATCACCGAGGAGCAGCCAGAGCTCCCACGTGCCTCCTTGGACTCCAACGCCATCCACGTGGACAGATGGGAGGCCACACAGAGAAAAGGAGGCCGCAGCCTGAACTCAGGACAGAGCTGGGACAGGCAGCGGAGGTGGGAGGCAGTCGGCATGTTTAGTGAGGGGCCTGTGAGATCAATCTGCCTGCCAATGCAGGAGGCATAGGTTCGATCTCTGGGTCAGGAAGATCCCTTGGAGAAGGAAATGGCAACCCACTCCAGTATTCTTGCCTGGAGAATTCCACGGACAGAAGAGCCTGGTGGGCTACAGTCCATGTGGTCACAAAAGAGATAGACAACAACAATAACAATCTCAAACTCCCAATCCAGCAATCCTCTTTATGTCACCAAGTGTATGCATATGTGTGTGTGTGTGTTTGTGTGTGTGTGTGTGAGCACATGTGATCTCACAGTTGGTGTTCAGTTGTTAAGTCGCGTCCAACTCTTTGCAACCCCATGGACTGTAGCATGCCCAGCTTCCCTGTCCTTCACCATCTCCCAGAGTTTGCTCAGATTCATGTCCATTGAGTCAGTGATGCTATCTAACTATCTCATCTGCTGCCTCCTCCTCCTTTTGCCTTCATTCTCTGGGATTAGCAGATGCAAATCACTACACACATACACACACACACACACAATGGATAGGCAACAAGGTCCTGCTGTATAGCACAGGGAATTTTTTCAATATCCTGTAATAAACCATAATGGAAAAGAATATGATAAAGAATGTATGGATACATATTGTTGTTGTTTAGTTGCTAAATCATGGCCATCTCTTTTGCAAGCACATGGACCATGTAGCCATGTAGGCCACCATGCTCTTCTGTCCATGGGATTCTCTAGGCAAGAATACTGGAGTGGGTTGCCATTTCCTTCTCCAAGGGATCTTCCCAACTCAGGGATCAAACCTATGTCTCCTGCATTGGTGGGCAGACTCTTTACCACTGAGCCAATGGGGAAGTCCACATATATTATATATATACAATTGAATCACTTTGCTCTTCAGCAGAAATTAATACAACATTGTAAATCAACTATACTTCAATAAAATAAAGAGGATAGCTGGAGAATAGATGAGGGGAATGAAGAAAATACCATAAGACTGAGAGTTAGAGTGCAGCTGAGGGGCTGGCCCTGTCTTGGGCAACAGCCAGTTACATTCTTTCTTTCTGGCTGACATCTCACATGACCACTGGGACACAGCAGGGCACAGGCAGTTTCCTTTCTGCCTTCTCCACACTCACCATGGGGTGCGTAGGGCATTGTGATGGGTTCTCTGATAGCTGACTTGAGCACTCGGATGTCTGGAGGCATGAGGAAATATTGCTAAGAGTTCAGTGAGGCTGTCCCAGGATGGGGCTCACCCAGCAGTGATTTTCATAGGGCCCTGAGGAGCTGGCAAAGCAACTGGAACATTAGGAATTATTGGCTGCATTTTAGGGCTCAAGAAGGAGTATTCAAGGAGACTGACTGGGGCTTATAAAAGTTAGTGATGGATGTTGCCGTAAGTCTCTATTCTGTGCCATTGGGATAATTGTTTCAGAATCAGTCTCCCAAAATGAAGGGCATTATTATAATAAAACTCCTCGCATTTGTACCTATTTATATATATGTGTGTGTGTGTGTGTGTGTGTGTATGAATAAAATTGATAAAATGTCTCTATTAATGAAAAATGTTCATCTATGTTTATATAAACTAATTTAATAATAATAAAAAAGAATCGGTCTCCCTTTCTTCTGACTAGTGATAAAAACAGATGCCTCCCTGGAGAGGAGGCTCTCACACCTCCTGGCAATGTCCAGGCTCCTTCAGAAAACCCAGGAAGAGAGGAGCAGAGTCACCCACCCTAACATGCTCCCCCAACCTCCGGGGCACGTGCTTCCCCAGGAACCGTCCCTTGCCCGCCTCTGAGTGAGTGATGCCATGAACACAGATGATCTTATTGACAAGTCACAATGACCTTTGATACTTTCAGAAACTTGGTATCAACCAGAGACCAGGCCAAAGGATCTGGGAGCTCAAGAAAGCCATCCTGACTCCAACCCTACAAGGTTCCACTCAAGTTTCATCACTTCTACTGCCCATCTCCCACTGTCTTTGCTCAGAAAGAAATAGATCACATCCTCAGATACAAAGAACAACCCTGACTGATCTTGAGTGGCCTCAGCCTGCAGCAGCTTGAAGCGGGACTTTGGTTCCCAGCCAGAGATTGAGGTCGGGTCTCAATCCTAACCACTAAAAAAGATCCTGATGCTGGGAAAGATTGAGGGCAGGAGAAGAAGGGGGCAACAGAAAATAAGATGGTTTGATGGCATCATCAACTCAATGGACATAATCTGAGCAAACTCCAGGAGACAGCGAAGGATAGGCATGCTGCAGTCCAGGGGTGTCAAAGAGTTGGACTGAACAACAAGACCAGTGGTCAGTGACATGGCCCTGGCCCTTCGGCTTTGCAGAAAAGAATTCCCACAAAGACAGAAAATAGTGAAACAAAGTATTTATTAGGAGGAAAAACAGAGTACAGTATGTGTGGATATACACAAGGGCGGGCTCAGAGGGAGAGTGTCCTTGTGGTAGTTTGAATCACTTTTACGGGGCATTTCTTCCAGGTTTCCTTTGACCAGTCATGCTTTGCCTGGTTCTGAGGCTGCACTGGTTTAGTTCAGGGTCCTCCCACATGTGCATGTGCATCTCTTGGTCAAGATGGATTCTAGTGCAGATGACCGTAGGTAGAGAGACATCACTTACTATGAGGTGATGCCCCCTCCTTTTTTGACCTCCAAGGACCTCCTTTCTGCACATGTGTAGTTGGGGAGGTCTCCTTAACTTCAAGTATGAGGATGATGTGGTCTTTTATCTCTTATCTGGCCGGGCCCAGCCTCCTCCATTATCTTCCTTGTAGGGAGTTTCTGCTATTATAACGGTGTCCCTGTGGCTCAGAAGTAAAGAATCCACCTGCAAGTCAGGAGCCACAGTAGACATGGGTTCGATCCCTGGATCAGGAAGATTCCCTGGGGAAGGGCACAGCAACCCACTCCAGTATTCTTGCCTGGAGAGTCCTATGGACAGAGGAGCCTGGCTGTCTATAGTTCATAGGGTTTCAGAGAGTCAGACATGACTGAAGCAACTTAGCGCACATGCACAAACTGTTATTATGAAGTTTTTGTCCATAGGGAAGAAACTGTTCAGCTGGGGGCCCATCTATCTCCTGCCTCATGACCAACGAAACACCTGGGCCTTCCCCTACCCTGCCAGACCTTAGGCCAAGAAACACAGAGCTGGTGTGTTTGGGTCAAGCTGAGAAGCAGCACTGGGGCAGAGGTCTCCAGATTGAATCC